ATGGCTATTGGATGAGAATGGTTATGTTTGTCCATCTCTTGGTTAATGCGAGCAATTACTCCTTTCTTAGACCCCACCATGCTAGGAGCACCATCAGTTGTCACACTGGCTAGTTTAGCCAAGTTCAGCTCCAAACCATTCACAGTTTGGCAAACCTTTTCATAGATATCCTCTCTTCTTGGTTCTTTCGGTAAAGTCACGTAGAAGGGAAGTAATAAAATAATAAAAATAAAACATAATAAAATAATTCTCACGACGTTTCGGCCACAACGCAAGCAGCCGTCCTCAGGTGAAAACCAGGTCTGTCGGGGAGACAGCGTCTGAATGAAACAGCACACGAGCTTGGAGCATGTATTAGTACTACTGCATATGTAGTACTAATAACATTCCTGCATTTCCCATAAATATGCTAAATTCCTCTTGATATGCAAATTTTTTTGTCAAGGCGCTCTTTCCCCCGCTTCCAACCCAGCTTATATATGCTCCAAGCTCGTGTGCTGTTTCATTCAGATGCTGTCTCCCCAACAGACCTGGTTTTCACCTGAGGACGGCTGCTTGCGTTGTGGCCTCAACGTCGTGAGAATTATTTTATTATGTTTTACTTTTATTATTTTATTACTTCCCTTCTACGTGATGACTTTACCGAAAGAACCAAGAAGATGAATCCCTGCAGTCACGAAAGCTTTAAATCGAAAGATATCCTCTCCTGTAGTTGTTCCTTTGATGCTTTGCAGTGCAGCAAGCTCTTCTGTGACTTCGAAATAGTCATTCGTCCCACGAATAAAAATTAGAAGTTGTGCAGAATCACGAACATCATTGCTTTCGTCGAGTGCCAAGGAAAAATAGGAAAGTTTTTTTGTGGAGTTTTTCAAATGCTGATACAAATTGTCTCCCATTTCTTCAATCCTCCGTGTAATTGTAGGTCCTGAAAGACTCACTGTACTAAATAAATCGGCCTTCTCTGGACACATCTCTTTGGCAACAGAAAGAAGGCATTCTTTAACAAATTCTCCCTCCACGAATGGTCTGCCAGTGCACGCTATTAGCTTGGCAACTTGAAAACTTGCTCGCAGTGATGAAATATTTAGCTGCTTCTGCTTCACAAAAGTATTTTGCTGAGTTGTTAATGTATTTTTCAGTTTTAATATTTTATCTTTTCTCACTTCTCCGACCAAACAATCATATTTATCTTTATGTTGAGTTTCATAGTGTCGACGTAAATTGTATTCTTTGAACACAGACACTATATTCTGGCATATCAGACACACAGCTCTTTCCTTGTACTGCATGAAAAAGTAATCATAAGTCCACTGTTCTTTGAATATCCTACACTCCGAGTCAATTTTTCTCTTTCTTGACATCATTATTTCCTAGGGAGTCAAAATTGCTATTAGTAAAATACCAATATATATACAGCGCTACAAAAACAATATACCAGCAATAACTTTGCCCACACAGAGACATACAGACTGCACTGCCCATCAATGCAGTCTGATTGGGGGGAACTCCGCCCCCTCTCCCTCTTCCACCAATGACCGTCCTTCTCATGTAGAAAAAAAGTAACAGACAGGCAGCGGCGGCAAAAACACCCGGCGGGCCGGATAAATGTCCTCGGCGGGCCGCATGTGGCCCGCGGGCCGTAGTTTGAGGACCCCTGCTTTAAATCGAAACATGCTCTGGTAGTATATGCATTGTCTTTGAAACTGATTTGTCCACACCAGAGACAACCTTCTTTAGAGCCTAGTCTCAAACGTTGTTAGATCAGAGGACGCCTAAAGGCGTACACAGCACAAAGACAATGCATTTTGTTTGCATGTTCACCACAAGTAAATGTGGTTAATGCAGACATGATTGCTTGCAAAAGGTTATTGTTTAGTGTTTTAACATCTTAACACAACTGTTGTATTGCCTATTCTTATATTTCGATACTGGCGAGGGAAGAATTAAAATTGGCCAGACATCCCAAACAGGACCACATTGAAAATACAGTTAAGGTTTATGATCACTTGTTTTTAATTAAATTACTTACTGCCATTATGAAGTGAGACCATTATGATCCGTTAAACATTCGGTTGAGGACTGCATTGCACACAGAAGTGTTAGATTTATTGATTCTTGCATCGGTCATTAAAGCAGTGTCTGTCATGTAGTGAGTCAAGCTTATACTGTACGTTGTATTATGTGTACACCATATTGAGGCGTGGATTTATCAATTTAAAATCAATTCTTACGATTATAATTCAACAAATCGTCTACGCATTTCTTATGCAAATGATGTGCTCTTTAGAACATTTAGGCCAAGAAGGAAAATAAATGTACAAACGAAAATAAAGTAACTAGACAATGCAAACGGAATGGTAATTTACTATTGGAACGAACTGTAACCATAGATGTGTGTATGTTGAACTTCTTTTGCACCGTACGTAGCCAACCGTGCTACTCGGAGATGCGAGGAAACCATGAGGTTATGTCTTGGAATGACGTGGAAATCCCCACACTTTACCCCACCAAACGCCACTTTTGCTGATTGACCAGCTGCGGTTAACCCATTTATGCTGCTGAGTGGACAGAAGCCCACTGGCAGTGGGATTTGGGAGACTTGCCCTATTGTTTCAGCTTCATCTGGATTTCAAGTGCTACCGATATTTTAAGGTCACACTCATGACCACACAAAGTGCTTGCCTCAAACGAACCACCAAATACCTCGCTAATCTCATTAAGGAGCATCAAACATCACGTGAACATCGGTCATCCTCGCAGCAGCTCGATTTGGCTCGCCGTCGAACAAAGACGGTCACCGCATCGAGCGCATTCAGATGCGCTTCGACGGCCGTCTGGAACGCTCTTCCGTCTGATGTTAGGAAGCCACTGGAGCCATGCACTTTTAAATAATCTAGATTGCAAACTCATTTCTTGAGAATTGCTTATTGTGTTTGGTTTGTTGTGTTTAGTTTGTTGTCCTCCCTCACCTCCGATTAATCAGGTTGGGTATGTACGGTGCGAAAGAAGTTCAACATACATACATATATACATACACAAACATAACATATACAACTCGAACTCATATCGCCTAAGATTACAGATGCATAACATCTACTGAGAATATTTACTGCCACCGTTAACGTGAACAATTAATTGTCTGGGGCCAGCTGGTGAGTAGGTGGTGTCCGTCTGGTAAACAGGAAATGTGTTTAATTGTGCACACACCTCAAAGTACCAAACTGTTGCAGAGGAATCACACAAACATCCCGCAGGCCAACACTTTCCTCCTAAGTGCTGTGTGTGCGGTGCAGTGGTGAGCGCACTGCACTATGAACGCGGGTTCAATTCGCACTTATGGGCAAAATCGGCAACAAATATCTGAGCCGGTCCTGGCCCTCCCCTAGGCAGACTCAGCCTCAAATACGTTTACGCTGCAGTGTATAAATGTCATCACTGGGAGACGAAGGCGGCCCTGGGTGGTGCTAGCCTCAGACCCCATCGTGTGCCGTGCCGGCTTAATAAGAAAAGATAAATGATTGGCATTAAATAAATTCCTACCCTTTATGTAAGTCGAGCAAGAACTCTAATCACATGCAATGCATAAAGATGATCATTGTTGAGTGCGTGACAGACTGATGTTAATTCCAGTGTTGTTTTAGAAGGGCTCTAAATGTGAAATTCACCACAAACATAACCGAGTCTGTGCTTATAAGCAGAAGTATCTTTGAAGTAAATTTTAATTTTGTTAAGTTAGACCCCCCCCCCCACCACAAATAATAATTATCCTGGAGGTCGATTGCTTTTACTCATAGCACAGAGCCAGCCTACATTTCTAGATTGCTTCAAGTTTCTTGCTAAACACTTACGACTACATGGTCCCCATTATCAGTGAACATAAATATTCACTGACCATGAACAGTGACGCTGAAGTTGATGGGGACGTGAGCCAAGCCCATCGCTGGTTTACGAGCAAACACAATTTGCATGGGAGTCGCAGCCAAAAGCAAAAGTGTTTGCTTGTTCAAGTATGGGACGGTGCTCACTTGTTTGGGACACTGGGCCAGTGCTGGCATGTGCACATTCCTACGGTTACTCTGTAGGAACACATTCCTGCGGAGGGAGCTGGTAGGAACGTTGGGTTGCACGGTCAATGGCCAGGGTCAACGGCGGCGTGGTGTATTCCGCAAATATGGCCGACTGTGAGGGCGGGCACAAGCCGGCGTGAGTAGGTTAAACGTTGAGTTTTATAAGGGCACCACGGGGTGACCAGCCCCTCCCCACCCAGCCCCACCCCACCCACCCACCCCCCACCCAGCCCCACCCAGCCCCTCCCCACCCAGCTCCTCCCCACCCAGCCCCTCCCCACCCAGCCCCTCCCCACCCTCCCCTCTCCACCCAGCCCCACCCCTCCAATTTTTGGATGCAGGACGGACGGACACAATAATCCCCATGGGCTGGTGTAACCAGGAGGTTCCTACCAGGATAACTACTGCGGATATCCCACACACTTCTTTGTCCAGGGCTTTTTTTTCTCACTCAGGATTGTTCTCCACTCATTCCAGTTTGGGGCCATCTCTGCAATGACTCCACAGGCCTTTGTATCCTGACTCACCACTCCGAACCAGCTCTTTATCCAGGCCTGCCTCTCTGTCTCCGCAATGGTGCTTCCATGCTCATCACCTTCCTTCCAACGTGGCTTTCGTCTCTTCTTCTGGCACGTTCTAGCCATTGGATTGATATTCATTTTGGCTCGTCTGAAATGCGTACAACTCGTTGTCTTCCTCGTCCATTCATTTATCTCCATTTAATTTGTGGTTTAAAAAAATAATAATATAAATTTGTATTAACTTCAAAGGAATTATGCAATAAATCCACTCACCAAACTGGCATTTTAATGCACAATAGTTTTTATATATGTGCAAGTCGAGTCCTGCATCACATTAGGATTGAAAAAAAAGACTACGTACGTAGCACCACGACTTAATTGTGTTACCTATGTGTGTGTGTGTGTTTGACAGACGGTCACGTCACCATCAGTCGGAGGAGCTGCTTGGCCCCTCGTGTGACCTGTCGCTCGTTTGCTGAGCGAGACAAAAACGAGGCCAGCTCCAGCGGCTGCCACGGCACCACCAGGCGAAGCGTCGTGAATCTGCCGACCGACGGTGATAGCTTCTTCGCCGGCTCAAGACAACCTGCTTGGATTACGTCCGCATTTGTCATCGTCCGTGGTGCTTACTGCCCGCTCCAGTTAACCAAAGTGCCACTCTACGCTCCTTTTCCCGGTTTAACGACTTGGCGCCCACTGAGCAACAAGAAGAGGATTATACAAATCTAATCTTCCAGGTTGCCATCGCAAGCAGCCTTCGCCAATCTTCCACACGACGACGAGCCGGCCCTTCGGTGTTTTTTCCTGGAGCCCTGCGGATGCAAAGTCAACATTTTTTTTACTTTTCCATTCCAGCTTTTCGGTTAATGTCGATATTATTATTATAATAAAATTTTTTTTGTGGAAATTCGAATCCCTTCGTACGTACGAAACAAAATTAACACCCTCCGCGGAGGAGGTGGAGAAATGGCCCTCAAGAGCGAGGATGCGGGGACGAGCTACGCGAAGATGGTCTCGGATGAAAATCTCTTCACGGGTTTTCTCGAGGAAGCCCTGGCCCCAAAGCAGCCCTCTGCGCGCAGGGCCACCATGCCGTCGGAGCGGCTCACCTCACCCACGGACGTGGAGGACGACGACCCCGTCCGGGAGGGCGCGTCCGCCAGCGGCTTCGACGAGAGGGCCTCGGGGAAGACGCTCGGAGCGCCGTCCCCTCTGCGGTACTCCAGGCACTTCCTGTCCGACAACAGCATTTTTCACGGTGAGACGGCGACGATTCGTTACGTGCTTCTTGTCGTTGTTATTTTATGTGTGTGTGTATGTATATATTTTTTATCACAAGGTACAAAGTTGCGTGTCGTTGGGGACTGTGGTGTTAGGCGGATACGTGAAGGGAAGGTTGGACGCGTGAATATTTGTTGAAAGCGACAGCTACACTGCACAAGTAGACTTCTGAACAAAAAATTAAGTGCAAACTGCTATAAACGTGGGGAAATGAATTGCTGCACTTTGGAAGTAAGCGCTACGTACGCGAGATTGAGAATGTGTGGTGCATGAAACGGTCGGATTTGCGAACGTCTGTTGAAAATGACAGTTTCCTTCATGTACAGATGTTTGGCCCTGGGTGTGGGCAGTTGTATATATCGTATGTTTCGCACCGTATGTAGTCAACCGTGCAAATTGGAGGTGTGAGGGGACAACAGACTTAACACAAAAAACTGTTAAAAAGAAATGGGTTTTCAATATAGATGGTAAAATTGCATTGGTCCAGTGGCTTCCTAATATCAGAAGGAAGAGCGTTCAAGACGGCCACAGAAGGGCATCGGAAAGCGCGCGATGCAGCGACCATCTTTGTTCGGTGGTTCGCCAAAAGCTGTTGAGAGGATGACCGGAGTTGGCGTGATTATGGTTTTAGCTTCTTGACGAGATCAACAAGGTATTGTGGTTCATTTGTGGCCAGCACTATGTGTGTAATGAGTGCGACCTCGTAATTGGTGAGGGTGGATGTCACGGTCAGATATACAATGTTTACAATATCGCGCAAGACATTTTTTTTGCCCTTGGTCAGTCAAGAATTGCTCCGGATTTGGGAGCAAATTCCTTGAGAAGTTGACCCCAGGGCCACGCTTGCAAAAGTTATTTGCATTCTCAACGGCTTCTCCGTCGATTAAGAAATGGTTGTTGAACCGGATGTGTAGACCGTCTGGATTGCCTACGTGTTAAACTGGATTGCGCTATAGACATAATTCCTATAGTGCACGTGGCACGAGAGAACACGTTGGACTTTCTCTATTGACGCCACTGCTGAACAACGGGAACACTTGACGCAAGACCTCTAGAGCCGTTGTACCAACGTTGGCGGAACTGCACTGAAAGTTGAAACTGGTGTTTGTGCCCGCCTTTGCAAAGTAAGACAAACCGATGGCACGGACGCTCTACCGCGGTGACAATCTCTATGGCGTAAACAAGTGGGTGCCAAGTCAGTTGTTTTAACAATCTCTACACAGAGCGGTTGGAAGTTACAGCCGTTTGTCATTTCGCTTTCTCGCGGGTTTCATCTTCCCCTCGCAGGCGATCGGAGATTTGCATATAAGACATTTGTCCCATGCGGCCGGATGCACAGGAACAAACAAAAAATAACTTGTGTAACAATCGCTGATGCGGGCATTGGGATCGCTGCTGACCACCAACATCCCCCGCCCCCCCGCTGACAAAATTTACTCGGCTGTTGTTGAGCCCCCCCCCGTGTCTTTCACTCGCAATTTCTCACGCGGAACAAAATAATTATGGCTCTGGAGGCATTTCGATGCAATGCTTTGTTTCGATGTTCACTCACTTAATGATAGACTGTGAATACGTTCCTCCGGCAAAAACCTCTTGCTGCATGGACATAGAAGGAAACCTGTTAGTATAGTAGTATACAAGCTCGAAGGCCTGTTTAGTGGTTTTGAATGAATGCACGATTTATAAAGAACGATGGGACTTTGGACTACTGTAATTAGCATTCATTATCCTGTATTTTATATGCACACAAAGCAAAGGCTTGTGTCAATATATGCATTTCACACTTCACAATAAATATATACAATTAGTGTAGTTATTGAGTTACTCGTTGAAATCTAATGTTCCATTGTAAAGTTGGCGGTTGTATGTAAAACGTGGTCTCACGGTTGCCTGCTTGAGATGCGGTTGCATTTGAATGTAAACAAAACAACGAAATTTGCATTGAAGACAAAGGTGGCACAATCACGCTGTTGTGAATTACGATGCCCATAACAATTTTGCTGCCCTAATTTCATGTCACGTTCACTGCACAAATCACATCTCGCCCATGTTGAAGAATGTAACAATACGTAGCATTATTTTGTAGAGCCTTGAGTCTGAAGAACGTGTTTGCCTCGACATGCCTGGCCATTTTTTCTCGAGAGTGTTTCGGCGCTTGGAATGAAAGCAAATTGCCAGAAAAATATTTCGCACACAGTGGGAACAGCACGCACGTATCTGCAGCACAGACCGTTGCATGAATCCACAACTCAACTCCCATCTCCTGCACACCACTGTAGCCTTAACCCACGACTCAGGGGTGGGGAACGTCGGGCCCACGGGCCGTATAAGGCCCGCGAAATCATTTGGTCTGGCCCTGCCAAGGCAACCGCAGGCGGGACTCGAAATTCAATAAATCTAGGAACAAACCTGGAAAAGCAGTTGCGAGTAGCAACATCATCAATACCAGCTAACATCACACGCCTCGCCAAAGAGAAGCAGTTCCAGCCATCACATTAGGGGTGAGTTAATTAAATGTTTGACCAAATATAACAGGCCAATTTTTAAGTTGATAATTTTGTATGGCCCCCGAATGATGTTATAAATATCCAAATGGCCCTCGGCAGAAAAAAGGTTCCCCACTCCTGATCTACGACAACGCCGTGGGATACCCGGGCAGTATCGCTCCCAAGTACCGAACCACGTTCGTGCCTGACAATATCGTGAGGCGTTCGAATGGAACTTCATGTCATATTTATGATGTAAGAGATCCCTGCTGTTTTGAATGCATATCTGCGCCTTCGGACTGTGCCACCAAAGAACTGGGCATAGTTTCACGATGCATGGCCCGACAAAGCACTTTGATTTATAATCGCAGTCCATTAACCTCTGGTGACGTCAATGCGAGATAATAATTTTAATGAACAAGTGCCTGACCACAGCTTCCTCTTGAGGTCAGTAAATAAGCACTTAATACATAATGGCAGCATTAGCAACCATAACAGAATGCATTTCAAATTCACTGGTTCAGTTAGATATGAGATCATGAATGTACACCTGCACGAATTACTTTATTAATAAATGAAAAAAAACATTGCTTCAAACGGTATTGGTCTGTTTTGGCCATTAATTTCAAATGCCATTCCCATATTGCTATCCGCAAGAAAGGGCAGCGAAACATAAACTCGTACATTTAATAGTACAATATTTATTGACATTAAAAGTTGCATTCGTCACCAGAAAGTGCACGGCAAGCGAGGTGCATTTTGAGGTGAGAACGCACAGCAGATATTAATAATATTTGGCTTGGCAAGTGGTGAGATGTTAACTACCTTGCCTGGTATGCAGGAGGTCGTGAGTTCGAACCCAACCTTGACGCCTGCAGCTTTATATTTGGAGTTTGCATGTTCTCCCCGCGGTTGCGTGAATTTTTCTCCGGGTTCTCTGGTGTTTCCCTCCAAATTTAGAAACATGTGTTTATAAAATTCAGCTGCTATAAATGTGCACATGGTAAGCAACTTCGTTGAGCTATCATTTGTGCTAAGCTCACTTTTGAAAAAGAGCTATTCAGCTCAATGGACCTTACCTGGTAAAATAAAATGTTTAGTTTCGTATTAAGACCCTCTTACAATCATTGGGATTCTGTATTCGTGCTTGAGGTCCCCTCGAATCAGGAGAAGGTACCTCAAGATGCTGTATCTCTCATTGCTCATGCCCGAGGCTCACAGACAGTTTACAGAGCTTCATAGTCAAGGGGAATCGTATAGCATTTATACTCCGTTGCTGCTTAATTTATAGTTAACTTGAAGTATAAAAAGCAGTAGCAGCAAAGTGCGCAGGGACTGTCATGGAATTCATATTATAGCTGAGTCTTGCAACTCAGTGGGTCGTTGCAGATCTTATTCCTTCCCACTGTTGTTATTTTACCCACTCATTTTACCGTGATTAAATGTTGAGGGCCCATATCCGGCTATAGGCATATCGTTTTAAAAACATTAATTGCCCTCCAGTTATCAGTGATATAAAATACACACACATCTCCTGACTAATGGTTCTCAAAAAGGCCAAACCTTGGCTAAATTTTTATTCCAACAATCTCATCATCAAGGTGGTCACGGGCCCCTCTATAAATTCCACAGGACCTCACGTCGCTATATTTTTTATTTGACATCTGGATGATAGAGAGGGCACTGTGCTTTCTACTGAGCCAGTTATCACAAAATTGATGCTTCAATTCTCAAAGACGCACAGGAGTTTATCTGTGTAATCGCCGAACTGTTCCGCTTATTAACAAACACGCGCTTATGACCCTGTGGCATTAGCGCGTGCTTGATATTGCTTTTAGACAAAAACTCCACATTGGTAAAAGTTCATGCCGGCTGAATATCAAACAATCTAAAGAGAGTCGTATATTTGTACCATAGGTCATACATCCTGTGTAACAGGATATTACTCTCAAAGGGCTTTCACCTGGATAGAATGACGGCCAAATAACATTCATCACTTTGCACGTTAGGCCGGGTGCCCTGGCTTGCGGAGCCATCTGGCCTACACCTCTTAAAATAACTCTTAAAGCGACAACACGCGCTGGAAACACGGAATCTGGAGCGTTGCGCGTACTCAGCGGATGGCATCCAGCACTGATTAACGAATGCTCCGCCATTAACCTGCCGATGTGTGGAAAGTTGGAAGTTGGTTTTTTTGCACACACGGTGCAATTTTGTGCTGACACAATTTGAAAAGTCTGAAGCAAACAAGTTTAACTTTGGTAAACACGTAGGCTTTCGCGCCTAGTGTTATCCATAATAGTTTTTTTTTTGGGTTAGATCACATAAACATTAATGTGTCGTTAAACCCGCCACCGCCCAACGCAGCGAATTAGTAAGGTTTGTCACGTAAACAGAACATGCCAATTCGTTACTAGTTCAGCACACCGGTGTGTTAGAGAGTAAACCCACAACATTTACCATCCGAGTACGACGTTTCGTGGGTAATTAC